ATGATAATTATAATACTATGAAGATTGTGATAACAATCATCATCATCATCATCATCATCATCATCATCATCATCATCATCATCATCATCATCATCATCATCATCATCATCATAAAGAAGAAGAAGAAGAAGAAGAAGAAGAAGAAGAAGAAGAAGAAGAAGAAGAAGAAGAAGAAGAAGAAGAAGAAGAAGAAGAAGAAGAAGAAAAAGAAGAAGAAGAAGAAGAAGAAGAAGAAGAAGAAGAAGAAGAAGAAGAAGAAGAAGAAGAAAAAGAAGAAGAAGAAGAAGAAGAAGAAGAAGAAGAAGAAGAAGAAGAAGAAGAAGAAGACGAAGAAGAAGAAGAAGAAGAAGAAGAAGAAGAAGAAGAAGAAGAAGAAGAAGAAGAAGAAGAAGGAAGTGGAGGAGGAGGAAAAAAATGGTATAGGCTTGCATAGATCGGTCCAACAACCAGCACTTTGCTCAGAACAATAAATAGAGAGATTGTTTGTTTTAGTTTATGTTATTTTGATTATGGTTCAAGGTTCTACATAATAGTTCTTCTCCCCTCGGTTAAATTGTTCCATATTGTCATTATGCCAATTACAGAAAATCATGAAAATTGCGCCAAATGACGGTAAATCAAATTGAAACGGCTGAGGGGTAGAACAGCGGTCCATGACTCACAGAAAATGCCTGAAGCAAGATTTCTAGCCAATTTACCTGTGAGGAAAATATGTTAAATGGTAAGTAATCATTTTAGTTTAGCTCTCAGTACCTTGTACCACATCTACGTAATTTAGTGTTGTATTCGATTCTACTGTCATTTTCCATTCCTTTTACTGTCAGTTTATTTAGTTTTCTCTTCTAGATTCTATTGTATTTTAGTTTCGCATTTCCCTTTTACTGTCATTTAATTTTGTATTGTAGTCCGGGCTGCCATTATTTAGTTTCGTATTCAACTCATCTGTCATTTAGTTTCGTACTTCCCCTAGGTATAATAATGTTAATGATTTTACTAAACGAGGAAACGTTTGACAGGCCTCTGATATGATGTTGGGATGGACTGTAAATTAAATCTAAAATACAAAATGGCGAGATCGAATGAGTGATGTTTTAAATGAGTCAGCGATTGGAGGACAGGATGAATCAAAGTGTGATTCAGAAAGAAACGTGTGCTTGAGGTAACGGAAAAAAAGAAGAATTACGAAGAAAACAGCTTGAGGTACCAAGTAAAAAACCGTTAGAGAGAAAACAGAGATAATCAGCAGTTGTAAACGTTTGGATATGTTTGAATGTTTCGATGTGTGTGTGTGTGTGTGTGTGTGTGTGTGTGTGTGTGTGTGTGTGTGTGTGTGTGTGTGTGTGTGTGTGTGTGTACACAAAAACACACACATACACTCTCATACACAGAAATACATATACAGAATAGATAGATAGCTAGATAGATAGATAGATAGAAAGATAGATACATACATACATACATACATACATACATACATACATACATACATACATACATACATACATACATACATACATACATACATACATACATACATACATACGTACATACGTACATACGTACATATGTACATACATACATACATACATACATACATACATACATACATACATACATACATACATACATACATACATACATACATACATACATACATACATACATACATACGTATATATACATACATACATACTACATACATACATACATATATACATACATGCATACATACATATTATAGATAGATAGATAGATAGATAGATAGATAGATAGATAGATAGATAGATAGATAGATGACAGTGTGTGGGCGGGGTAAAAAGCGATAAACCAAGAAATGAGACTCGCAGGCAAAAGATGGAACCGAGTAGATATGCCACAAAATGCCAAATGTTTTCCCCAGAACAGACAAAAGAGGAAATAAAAGGACACAATGCGAACTAATAACAGTATTAACGACGTAAGTCGCAGACGACAAAAGGGCGTTGTCTTCTGCCTAAAAGTAGGTCGTCCCTCTGTCTGAGACGTACCTCCCCCCTCCCCCCCTTTTCCCCTTTTCCTTTCTTTACCCAACAAATTACACTGCGCATAGCAAAGCTTCATTAGCCGTATAGACATATTATTGTGATGCATTGGCCATACGAATCAAGATCGTGCTAGGAAATCTAGTCCCAAATTCTGTATCGGTAAAGAGTTCGTTCGCTGTAAATTATCATATCAACCACTTTTCGTGATCTTAGGACGCGCGGTTTTAAAAAGACCTATCTATGAAAACGTTACTCATCTCCTTCTTCATCTTTTTTTTCTCAGCCTTTGCTAGCCCCCCTCTCTCTCTCTCTCTTTCTCTCTTTTTCCCCCGCTCTCTCTCTCTCTCTCTTTCTCTCTCTCTCTTTCTCTTTCTCTCTTTCTCTCTCTCTCTCGCTCTCTCTCTATGTTTTCTCTTTCTTCCTCTGTCTGTCTGTCTGTCTGTCTGTCTGTCTGTCTGTCTGTCTGTCTGTCTGTCTGTCTGTCTGTCTGTCTGTCTGTCTGTCTGTCTGTCTGTCTATCTGCCTGCCCTTTCCCCCCCCCCCTCTCTCTCTTTCTCTCTCTCTCTTTCTCTCTCTCTCTTTTTCTCACCCCCCGGGAGGCCTCTAAAACTTCTCCCCTTCCCGGGGGGGGTCGCAAGGCTTTTTGGCCCACGGTTTTTTTTTTTTTTTTCATTAAAAAAAACCTTGTCCCCCTTGGTTTTTCGGGGGCCTTTATCCAAAAAACCTTTTAAAAAGGGGGTTGTCCGCCCGTTTTTTTTAAAAGGAGTCCCCCCTTTTTCGGGGAAACTTTTTTGTTGAAATTCAAATTCAAATTGTTCATTAAAAGCGAGAGAAGGTGTAACATTTAGGAACCATTCCTTGTAAAAAATGACATTTTTAAAATATTTCTGGGATTTGGGGGGGGGGGGGGGTGTCACTCTCCTGAAAAAAATGTTGTTTCCTAAGCTTATAATAGCTGAACAACTTACCAAAGAACGAAGTGATCTCTGCCACGTTTCAAATAACTCTTATTTACTTTGTTATTACAATACCTTATTATATTTTGCTTCCCCAGCCCTAGATGAAGACTC